CGGGTCTCTGACAGTGGTCGAACAATGACTGATTCACGATTTCAGTGTTTAAAATCATCAGAAAAAACTTCAGATAGAATTGAAGTATTCAAATTTCTTCATGTACAACACGTGACTTGTCCTGTTCACCTTGATCTTGATTGGTTGTTATTGATTTTTAACGTGTCATTGTTTGGTTCTTTAGTTCTTACACGGTTGTTTGAAGAGAGCATCTTCTTATCGATCATGATACGATGTCCTAATAGAGTTTCCAGCGTCTTTATGGGCGTTGATCATTAGTGTACATGAGAAAATTAATATTATTATTGTGGTAAAGTTTTGAAAATTGTTAAACTTGTAGTTTACATTCTGAAACTCACGGTTATTAGATAACTATTATGTGACATTTCTGAAATCATGAATCACTCATTTTTCGACAGTCATTAGAATTCTGGAAGCACTGATAGATGGTCGTTTCGTCTTGGTATGGCACTCATTAACAGTGCGCTTCCATGACACTCACTACTCGCAAGAATTGAACTTAGGAGTTTCGGCCTAATCTTTGTACCATTATCTACACAGCCAATGGTCAACTTCAAGACGTCATGCAGACAGTTTTGATGACAGCCTGTTCTTAATGTTTTTCAGGTTTATCAGAGGTAAAGTATAAATCAGCAACAAACACGTACTGTAGTCACTGAAATTTCTCGAAATGACTGAGCTAAGAAATGTGACTGATTGTATCACAAATACAACAAAGTGATTGTCTCACGATATGAATGTCTTGTAGAATTCTATTTCTGATGTGGTTTGTGTATACGCAATCCTGATGAGTCGCATACTACAATAAAACCGCGGTTGGTTGCTTCCTATTTTTCAATAGTTGTTTCGTTGAACTCAATCCCTCACGGACACTTCAGACTCTTATTAAATTAGAAATAGTCATTGACATAATAAACTAATCAGATGTAATGATAATCAGAAAAGCCCAAATGGACGAATGCATATCATTGACCGAAAAATGGATTCACTTTCTAAGGGAGAAAGAGTAATTGTGTATTATTTATTATTCGGTGGCCAAGTAGACTCTGACCTACTTGCTCAAGTAGGTTAACACTTATCACAGACACCGTTCATCATAATGATTCATTCCAAAGTTAGATTATTACTATTGTAGTGAAGGAGAACACAGGTAGGGCAACCGAATTTGTATTTAACGAAAATTACAGAGTTACTCAGTAAAATCGGAAAACCATATCGTAAATCGTTCATTTGCAAAATATCAATCCATCCTAACGAACTGGACTGTTCCTGTCGCAATCAGTCCATTGTCACTTATTCATGAGTTTCATACAAATTTCATTGTGTTCTATCTCTTCCTTTCTTGCTTGATCTACCCCCATGTTCTGCTGCTAGACATTACGTTTACACACACGTCATATACTACTTATAAGTAGCTCGCACCACACTATTATTATTTTTGTTATTACTATTACGTAACTAGAAAATTACCATTAGTGTTATTTTTTTGATTTATCAAATAGATTTTTTAATCCAGAAGAAATTATGAGTAAAACACATAATGTTGTCCCACCATTGGATGATAATATACAATTAACTGTAACTGAATATCGTAATCGTTTATATCAGGTAACTTTTGATATTGAAAAAAAACAACAAAATGTTTGCAAACAAAAATTTTTCAATTTTAAATTATTTTTTTTTTAGTAAATTCATTAAATTATGAATATTACTTACTTATTTACTTACGTCTGTTAGCCCCCAATAGAGGAACATAGGCCGCCTACCAGTTTTCTCCGACCAATTCTGTCTGCCCTGTGCTTCCCTCTCTAGTTCTGTCCAATGTTTGGTCATTCTTCTCATATATTTGTCTATTTCTTGGCGTACTATGTTCCTTGGCCTTCCTGTTTTCTTTTTGCCTTGAGGATTCCATGTGAGGGCTTGTCTCGTGATGCAGTTAGGTGCTTTTCGTAGTGTGTGTTCTATCCTTTTCCACCGCTTCTTCTTGATTTCCTCCTCCACTGGAATCTGGTATGTTCTCTCCCACAGTAAGTTATTGCTGATGGTGTCTGGCCAACGAATACGAAGTATTTTGCGTAGACAACTGTTAATAAACACACTTGTATCTTCTGGATGATGGATTTCGTAGTTCTCCAAGTTTCCACTCCATACAGTAGAACTGTCTTCACATCTGTATTGAAAATCATAATTTCGGTTTAGGTTGAAAGTTGTTTGTAGTGCAAGATATTTTTCAAATGTAGAAATGCAGCCCTTGTTTTGCCAATCCGCGCCCTCATATCTGCATCGAATCCACCTTTCTCGTCGACGATGCTGCCCAGATATGTAAAGGTGTTAATGTCCTCCAAAGCATTTCCATCGAGAGTGATATGTTTGGTGCCTGTTGAGTTGCGTCGGAGAATTTTGCTTTTTCCTTTATGTATGTTAAGACCTAATGCTGCAGAGGCTGCTACTACACTAGTCGTCTTCTCTTACATTTGTTATTGCGTGTGCGATAGAAGAGCCAGGTCATCTGCAAAGTCCAGATCGTCCAGCCGCGTCCTAACTGTCCAGTGAATACCGTGCTTCCCTCCAGATGCTGACGTTTTCATAACCCAGTCGATCACCAGGAGAAAGAGAAAGGGTGAGAGTAAGCAACCTTGCCTGACACCGGTCTTCACATCGAAAGAGTCTGTCAGCTGACCTGCGTGCACGATTTTGCAGTTGAATCCATCATAAGAGTTCCGTATGATGTTAACTATTTTCTCAGGCACACCGTAGTGTCGAAGAAGCCTCCACAGTGTTTTCCTATCCACACTATCAAATGCTTTCTCGTAGTCGATGAAGTTGATGTAGAGTGGTGAGTTCCATTCAACTGATTGTTCCACAATGATCTATAATGTAGCAATTTGGTCAGTACACGATCGATCCTTACGAAATCCAGCCTGTTGATTTCGAAGTTGGGCGTCTACGAAGTCCTTGATTCTGTTGAAGACTTTGCCTGGTATTGAGAGAAGAGTGATGCCTCTGTAGTTCTCACACTAGAGATTATAAATATGTATAAGTAGTTGAATGAAAAAAGGACAAAAATAAATTCTACCGTTATGATAATCAACTAGAGTTTGTTAAATCTACCATAAAATGAATATTGAACGATGAAATGAGGTTTTGTTTTAAACTTTTAAAAAAATGGCAGAGTGGGAAGACATTTTTAAATAATTTTTAATAACTAATAAACTATCAGGAGAATAAAAAAATTGACATCATAGCTTGTTGATTCGATAGTTTATTGACATAAAAAGCTTTATTTTTCATTAAAAAGATGTTAAAGTTTTGTAACAAGCTAAAAGTGTGCACATACATGCATATAGAAATTAATCAGTTAATTTTTTAATACTTAACATGGATGCGCACTGATGATGAATCCCATACCAGTACGAAACGGCTGTCTAGTAGCTCCAGGTTTCTAATGGTGGTCAGTCTAAAAATGATTGGTTGATGATTTCAATGTGCAAAAAACATTCATCTCCATAACTCTAATTGAAAAATCTCAACATTATTGTAAAGTTATGTGATACATTTGTAGTGTGTAGATTTACTGCGTGTTCTTACGCTCGGTAATTAGCTCACCCAGTCAGTCGTTACTAAATAGCGTCTGACTGTTTATAAATCAGAAGGTGTTGAATACGTTCATTTTTGGGACACACCACAGAGCGAAGCGGAGAAGCAGTGAATAAAACGAATGAAACGACGTGAATTGGAGAAGGCTAATGAGCCAACTCAAAGAAATAGAACATGACTAAGAATATTTAGTCAGACAAAAAATAAGACAGACATGTGACAGGCAAAATAGACGTGCACACATGAATAAAAGTGACCAATAGTTGACAAGGTCAAATGACAAGTGAGACATGTCATGAGACATGAGACTTATCAGTGGCAATGCTCATCCACAACGCCTGCTACGTGCAGGCTTCGAACCCAGGACCTTCAGTTTTGTGCGTGAATTACATTTTAAAGTCTTGGAAATCACGACATAGTGAAGGAGAACACAGGTGAGGGCAACCGAATCGTATTTATCTCAAATTACAGAGTTAATTGGTAAAATCGGAAAACCATATCCTAAATCGTTCATTTGCAAAATATCAGTTCATCATATCGAACTGGACTGTTCCTGTTGCCAAACATCAATCCATTGTCTGACATTTCACTGTTTATGCGTTTCATACAAATCTCATTGTGTTCTCGCTCTTCCTTTCTTGATCTTCCCCCATCTTCTGCTGCCAGACATAACGTTTTTACTCGCGTCATATACTACTTATAAGTAGCGCGCACCACAACCATACTTGTTGGAATTACCTGCATTCCAACTCTGCTAATCAAACGGATACTCAAAACCATTACTTATTACATTGAATATTGAAACGAATCATCGTTAATTTGTTTAAAAGATGCTAATATTTGTGATAAATTATAAACTTATCAATTCCGAAGATTGCAGCACTTAAAATATCGAACCATATGTAAGTACTAAGTTGATCAACTTGATTTTTCACGCCCACACTAAGATGCTTGATGTTCAAACATCAGCCTTATTGATAAATCTTAAATTAAACAGGACTTGTGGTGCGCGCTACTTATAAGTAGTATATGACGTGAGTGTAAACGTAATATCTGGCAGCAGAAGATGAGGGAAGATCAAGAAAGGAAGAGTTATAACACAATGGAATTTGTATGAAACGCATGAATAGTGGAATGTCAGACAATGGATTGATGATGGATTGAAGATTTGCAAATGAACAATTTACGATATGGTTTTCCTATTTTACTGAGTAACTCTGTAATTTTCGTTAAATACAATTCGGTTGCCCTCACCTGTGTTCTCCTTCACTACAGACTTACTAAATTGAAGTCAGTTTATGATAAACTGTAAATTTAGTCATGTTTTCTTTTGGTTAATAACACAAAAAATAATATTCACCCATGTTCAAACTGTTTTACAGATAATTAATTCCAAGAAACTACGTAGACATAATCGAACCAAGCCAACTGATCAGTCGTCACAAAGCAACCATGCTCATCCAACTCCAACAGATAAGAGTGATGGTGAACTCACCGTACGAAATCCAACTCCTGAAAATATACAAAACAATCATTGGGATGAAACAGGCAAACTAGAAACAAATCAACCCTTTTCAACAATGACTGTCACCAACAACAGTAATAATAATAGTAATCATGATAAATCATTGCCTCAGTCGATCAATTGTATCACCACTCCAACTACTACTACTACTCATCAAGAATTGTCACATAATAAAAATTCACATTTAACTACTTGGAATCCAGAAAATCTACGACCTATATCTGATTTAGCTACATATACAGTGAAATCGAATTCATCATTATCTATGACTAGACCATGTTCACATACAGAATCAATCACAAATACTAACAGTGAAGAATTGTCATCATGTCATGTTAGGTAATTTGCTTAATTTGCTTTAAATGAAAACTGTGTTACTTAATTTTTATTAAGTAGTATGATTTGTATTACAGAATTTACAAGAAGGTTGATAACCAGAATACTCGTTGACTGCGTGTATCTACTATCCAGTATTTATCTTCTGATATAATTAAACTAATGTCACTAGGTGTTCTGCTAGTAAATATCTTAATTTTTATGAAACTTGTTATTCAATGACAAATTTGAATCAGTTTACCCAAAATGTCCATTAGCCATAAGAGACTGATCAGTATCCGTTTCCTATGGCATGTAAACGGAGAGCAGATCTATGGTTAAAGTACTTGTCACTCACAAAGTGTTTGTCATATGAAGTAAAAAATAATTTTACCGATGAAACTTGGTTTTACTTCAAATTAAAAAGAGTTCTTGCGAGTAGCGGTTGTCGTGGATGCGCAATGCTGATAAATCACACACTTGGACGCAACGGCCATCCAGTACTTCCAGGTTTATCGTGGTGGTCTGGAAATGACTCATAATTTCTGTAGTAAACGACAATCTTCATAATTCTCGATAACTCTATCATGAAAAATCGTACAATGTATTCACTAGTGACTGGTTCTCTGAAGAAACTTCCACGGAGTTCAAGTGGAAAGACGTGACCAGTAGAGTTCAACCCTGTCAGGCGTTGGCAATTACCTACCGAAGACAATGGGTGCAGTTGAGCAAAACCTTATATCAGTCAGAGTTATACATTAACACTGGTGGATGCCGGCTTGCTCAGTATTCCTCATGTTAGACATCTTAGCACGGCCAAAGGTTCTTGGTTCGAATCCTGCAAACTACAGGAATCGTGCATGCACACTTCTGACGAGTCCCATTCCATGACGAGATGATTGTTCGTTGTTTCAAGATTCCTGATTGTGATCCGAAAATGACTGAATCATGATTTCGGCGAAAAAATTTTGATTTTTAAAGAAAACATTGAAAGTTGACTTCATGTCAAGAGATATGTTCCTCAACTAACTTTTTATTATTGTCATTTCGATTAAACTAGAAATGAATGAACAAATAAGTAACTTATTTGAAATGTTCATACCTGATAACTAGTGTAGTGAAGGAGAACACAGGTGAGGGCAACCGAATTGTATTTAACGAAGATTACAGAGTTACTCAGTAAAATCGGTAAACCATATCGTAAGTCGTTCATTTGCAAAATATCAGTTCATCATATCGAACTGAGCTGTTCCTGTTGCAAGACATCAACAATCCATTGTCACTATTCATGCGTTTCATACAAATCCCATTGTGTTCCCACTCTTCTTCCTTTCTTGATCTTCCCCCATCTTCTGCTGCCACCAGACATTACGTTGACACTCACGTCATATACTACTTATAAGTAGTTTGCACCACACTAGTAATCATATTTTATTCTTATATTCAACGGTATATCTGTTCATTGTCCAATCGCAAGTGATATTGAACATTGACTTGACTGTTAGTTTACTACACAGACCATACACTGATTATATTACACGATAATTAATTGAAAATTATTGAACGACTGACTATTTGAACTAGATCGATCAGATCACCTTCGACGTCATATCTCTTCATTTGCGTCATGTGAAACTGATTAATTTTAAATGATTTATAAACAATGATACTATTCAATCATTAAACAATAAAACTTCCTTTGTTTAAATCACTGAATTATTAGACCATTGAACATATTCAATCCACATGAACTTGTTCAATGTACAATGTACAATTTGAGAAAATCCTTTTAGTAAGAAATAAATAAATGTTTTAAAGTTTACATAACTATGAAATCAAAAAAATGATGATGAGCATATTAAATAATTTCATTTTTTGTTTTTTTTTAAAAAAAATTTGTTTTAATGCATCAATTGAATATTGAATTGAATTTCTTTTTTCTTTTTTTGATTTCTCAAGTGAACAACAAATTTATAATAATAATAACAATAATAATAATAATAATTCATCTTGTGAACATGATAATACTACTAATAAATATTCAATGTTAACAAAATCAGCTGATATAAACAAACCGTCATCATCACCATCTAACGACCTTGTCAATAATAATCATAATTCTAGTTTACTGAATAAAGAAACAAGAATGTATAATTCTACAACAGATTGTTATCTTGTTAATGGGATTGATAGTAAAACATTTAATCATAGTAATGGGAATCTGTATGAACGAACTAATACACCAAGTAAAATGAATAGTAAACAAGTAAGTTTATTTAAATATATAGATCTATATACTGACATACGGTTTAGTTACACATTTTTTGAAACCATGAATCGATCAATGTTAGACCACCACCATTAGAAACCTCGAAGCACTGGACGGCCATTTCGTCCTAGTATGGGACTCCTCATCAGTGCGCATCCACGACTCCTGCACTCCGCAGGATTCGAACCCAGGACCTTCGGTATTGTGCGCGAACGCCCTAACCCATCGGACCACTGAGCCGGTATCTAGCGGTGTTAGTGTCTAACTTGATCAAATTCACGGAGTTGCGCAACCTCATACACAGTCTTCGGTAGTAGTTACTGTCTACACTCGAACAGGTTGAACTTCACTGGTCACACAACTTCCCACTAGAACTTGGAGAAGATTCCTCACGAAGCTAGTCACTAGTGAGCACAGGTAATTTGCATTACGGGGTTGTGAAGATTGTTAAGTTACACAGTGCTTCCAGGTTTCTAATGGTGGTCTAACATTGATCGATTCATGGTTTCAAAAAATGTGTAACTTAATAATCTTCACAACCCCGTAATGCAAATATGGTTTAGTGTTGGTTCCATGTTGCATCCACAGAGGTCGGTGAAGCTTCATTTGGTGACGCCAAGTGCCATTTCTACAACCCCAGGGACCATGGCGTGCGGGCATCGCACACCTCTCATGGTTCGTGGCATACAGATAGGTCTACCTACCTTGGAGGTCAGGTATATGTTACATGAACACTAGAAAACACATGAGTTTTCGCCTATGCATCCCTTGGTATACACAATTATAATTGTTCACTCGGAGGAAAGATGTTCGGCACTCGCATATCATTGATAGATACTCAAGCTTTTGCCTAAAAAGACTTCATG